AGTATAAGCATATCCAGTGTCTTTGTGTTTGGTTATCATACACAAATAAGTTGTATTTGTAAACTATGTTCATTGGCGTATTGTTGTCATACACAAGAAAGTTGTATTTGGTAAACTGTGTTTGGTTGCTTACATTATATTGCATGTAATCGCCTCCATATTTTAGAAGAGGTCTCATGTTTCTAATAGAGGTAAGTTCTAGAAAAGATAAGGGAGTTAAGAATATTACATTTTTGTGTAGCACATTGGTTGACCAGATCTGCATTACCTAAGAGCATCTCTAAGGGTTTCCCAAAATTGGCCCTCTTCACTCAATCTTGTTTTTTTACGGGATTGAAAAAAAGCTCTCTTTAACAACTCCTTATCTCAAATCCCAATCTTTCCACACTTGGGAAATTCGATCGAGACACGCGGAAAGATACGCGTGTAGGCACAACTTGGATCGGGATTGCCGCGACTTCTCACAGGCTTTTGGCCACCCACGCCACAGCTTGGAGGGCCAATGGGCCATGGCCACCACTGTCCGGCTAGTAGCCACCTCTTGGGAAAGCCAACAAATATGCTCCATATTTTTTTTGGTGACTTTGAAAACTCATTGATTTACCAATTGTTTTTTAGAGCTAATGAAGATGCTCTAATACGTCCAAATTTGACGTACTAGCTAATGTTGCATTAGACATGCTTTTAAAAATTGTGCAAGTCTGTATAAGAGCCTCTGCGAATAATCAACTATGAGCAAACTACACTGCACAAACCTATATACTAGCTAATGCAGACAACCAAACAAGCTCTATAAATTTACTTGTGATTTCCATATAATGCGTTAGCTCGAGGAAATCCCTAGGTGCTATAAAGGTAAATTGATACCTATTTCCATATATACGCTAGCACCAAGAAATCCATAGGTGTTATGAAGGTAAACTGATACATACCTATCGCTAGGAGTGGCCATTCAGGTTACCCTTTCAGGTCAAATAATTCAGATTCATAAAATTTTGGATTTCCAAATTAACACCCTAAATTTATCTAGACTTAGTAGAGGATAGATAGCGGAGACGATTGGAGCTGAAGGAACTCGCTCTTGTGGGTTAGAGCGGTAGAGTCAATAGATGATTAAGTGGGGGCATCGGGGGTAAAGTCTAGTGGAGGCGAAATTGGGCTTTTGCCCTCTCTTTCCCTGTGTGGCTTCATTGAACTCAGTCGTTGCATCTATTGCTGTTGGAGTATTGTAAGATGATGAACAAGTGTTGGAGATGGTGCAAGAGACATTGGAGAGGTATGGCTGAGTAGATTTTGCCTTGGTGGCTCAACTAAAACAAAAGGTGCGGCCCAATAGCACTCGCAACCCTTTAGTGTAGTAACTAAAAACCTCTTTTTTCTTAATGCAATGATACGCAATGCTCTTGCGCATTCTAGAAAAACTGAAAATCATACCCCACGTTGTTTTGCTGCCACGCTCCACCAAAAGGGCATCGAGGCACTGCTCAGAAACAAGTTTAGAAAAAGAGAGCCAAAGGACCTCATGTAGTCGATCAAGTGATCGCGGTTCATCATGTTTCAAAAAAATATCTTATAAAATGTTTTGAAAACACAATCCTCTTAAAAAACCAAGTATATTGCAAAAAGACAAATTCTCTTAAAAAAACTCTAAGAGAGATCATACTGAAAGATAAACCGTGACATTCAGACTTGTTTTTTTTATCTTGTTTCCCTATTGCTTTTTTCCAGCATACATTTCTCTTCTTCACCGTCACATGGTAGACTGATTTTGTTTGGTTTTATAATTTGACCATGAAGTCATTTTTCCGTTTAAGGGCCCGTTTAGCAGAGCTGTAGATTCTCGTAGAAACATTTTAGATCTAGATTTTCTTAAAAAATGTTGTCCTGATAAATCAAAATCACTTTTTGTAAAACTGTTTGGCTAGTTTACCGGATTCTTACAACATCTCCAATCTATATCTCTATCTCTGTCTCTTCTCTTCTCTTCTCTATCTCTATCTCTATCTCTATCTCTATCTCTATCTCTATCTCTATAAACATCAGTTCAAATTATTCTACATGTACATCCACCCAACAATTACCTGCTCTTCAGAGATGAGCTTAACACATCCACACCACCAAATGCACCCATAAATACATTATCCTAAAAACGTACGCACCAGATCATCTCTCCTCCATTCTCTCTCCGTACTCGACCATATCCAACACTCATCGTTCAATGGATATGCAGTGTCCACCTCACACACGACCCTTCCTCCCGCAGTTGCGCAACCTCATTGAAAAAATATAGTTCAATGAGAGAATTTAAAAAATAAACATAGAAAGGTTAAAAAGATAAGGCTTGATAGCGTGGCAACTAAGGAAGGATAATCTGTAGGGCTAATGATAAAGCTTTGACATTTTGATGATAAGAGACGACATTGATAGAGCTATTAATATGCAACCAGGATATTGAAGCGAATTGTACAAGAGCATATGAGCTATTGTACCAAGCTTTGGGCATAAATATATAGCCTTGGATTATAGATCTAACCAACCAAAAAGAGAGAGATATCATGCAAGATTGATCATGGTGGAAACAACTACTTTTGATGATAGTGAAGGCGAATGAAGTTGCAAACTATAGAGTAAAACATGGGATTAGAAATTGGTGAAAAAAGTGCAAGCTAAGTTACAAAAGTTAAAAGGATACTAGTTCTAGTTGGCTCAAGATCAAGAATAATCATTATAAATATAAAATAGAGGTGAACAATATTTTAAGACTCTTGTTGTCCTAATTAAAATTAACTAATGTTTGTGTTTTTAGTTGAAACCTTCTATTCATTCTCTCCTAGTCGGTATTCCTTGATCCTTCGTCCGAGACTTTGAATTTTTTATCCAATAAATCAAGTGCTAAGAGACCCTTAAACACTCGAGTATTCACTAGATGTTCTTTTTTTCTTGAGAAGTTCTATATAACAAGTGCACATGTGAAAATGTGGGAATGTACCATTACATCAAAATTCATGTGATGGGTAATGAAAGCAATGGGGGAGGTATAGTGGCTGCTAACCTAAATAGTTTTTTTAGAAGCTATAGAGGATTGAGGCATGGAGATATGTTGTCCCCTCTTTTGTTTAACTTAGTAGCTGATGGTATGGCTGGAATACTAAAAGCAATTGTTAGAAAGGAGTTGTCGCAGGTTTATTTAGGCCCTGAGCTGGTGGAGGGAGGTTTAATTGATTTTTATTATGATGACTGCAGTGTGCTTTTCATGGAAAACTCTACCCAGAATATCGCAAACTATAAGTTCTTGTTATTTTGTTTTATAGGAACTTTCTAGCATGCAGAGTGATTACCACAAATTAAAGGTGTTTACAGTGTGCATAGAGGAGGTGTTGGTAGATTCTATCGTAGATGCCTGTAATTGCAAATTGGTTAAATTCCCATTGAAGTTTGTGGGACTCCCTGTCAGTGACAAGAAGCTATCCAAGGCTACCTCAATGAACCAGTAATTAAATCGATGTGCCAATCAAAGGCGGAGAGAAGAATAAAGAGTAAGTCAGGGTTCTTGATGTAAATGTATAAGAAAAAAAAAGAATGTACAAAGTGGTTGAGTGTTTTAGAAATAGTTCAGGATTTTTTATGTAATTTTTTTTCTATATTTTAGGAGTGAGGTTTTAGAAACTGTTAGAGGAAGACAACAAATATACACCTAATTTTTTTGGTCACTTCTAAAACTCATTGATTTACCAACTATTTTTTGGTACTATTGGAGATGCTTTGGCTAAAAAATGTCCGTATCACATTTGTTGGACTCCTCCAACAGTTTCTAAAATCTCACTCCTAAAATATAGAAAACAACTTTAATTTACATTAGAAATCTTGAACTATTTATAAATCATCCCAATCATTTTTGCACTTTTTGTCTCATGTACGTTTGCATTGGGAATCGTATTATATTTTTTATTCTTTTCATGTCCTTCCACCTCCAGATTGGCGTATCGACATGCGCGCGGATATTTTTGCGTGATTGACTATTTTTCTAAGTGCAAAAAGATTAGGAGTTGTTAGAGTGCAGTTTTTTAATCTAGCCAAAAAAATTAGATTAGGAGTGGGTCTTGAAAACATTTGAAGGCTAATGAAAAAGGATGAAATCTATTTCGAGTGATTGTCCTTAAAACACTCTCTCCGTGCCGTTTGGTAACGATTCTTCTAGATATCAAACGCACTCTAAGTGTTATTTGGTTCGTGACCAAAACTTGTCATGCCAAAGGTTGATCATAACATAGTTTTTTGACAGTTGTTTAGTTCACTGTCACAACTATAGCGCGACACACTTTCCTAGCACATGTCACACATGTCGTAGACTTAGCCCTTGTTTAGTTCCACCCCAATTTCCAAAAAGTTGCTACAGTACCTGTCACATCGAATGTTTGCGACCCGTGCATGGAGTATTAAATGTAGACGAAAAGAAAAACTAATTGCACAGTTTGGTAGAAAATTGCGAGACGAACGTTTTGAGCCTAATTAGTCCATGTTTGAACACTATTTGTCAAATAAAAACGAAGATGCTACAGTAGCCCAAGGGCTTATCTTCATTCCAAATTTTGCCACGAGTGTGGCTTCGATTTTGTTCGCCACATTTTCTGTGGCAGCCATAGTTTGTTAAAGTTACGCGTGACAAAATTCGACACCAACCAAACAGGCTTAGGCTTATAACCATCTCACACGGCAGACATGCTTGTTCAACCGTTCGTCTTGGACCATCGTCCAAGCAACGAAAACATGAACTCCAAGAACTCTATAAAGTGCCACGTTCCCTGGCTATTCTGATTTCTGAACCAAGAGGACACCTACTCCCAAACAATCCATGTTACTCATGCAACTTTCATGCAAGTCGATGGAGACACGCACTACGTTTCCTGAACAAATCCATTAAGATCACAACCTCCCTCGCTTCCCTCTCTCGTCTCTCCTCTGCATGCAAACCGAACCCCTGCCGATCTTTTTCGTCCACCATGGAAGAGAAGAGGAAGCTGCAGTGGCGGCGAGGGCGTGACGGCATCGTGCAGTACCCTCACCTCTTCTTTGCGGCCCTGGCGCTGGCCCTCGTAGTCGCGGACCCGTTCGGCCTCAGTCCGCTGGCCGGGGTCGACTACCGGCCGGTGAAGCATGAGCTCGCGCCGTACGGGGAGGTCATGGGCAGCTGGCCCAGAGACAATGCCAGCCGGCTCAGGCGTGGGAGGCTGGAGTTCGTCGGCGAGGTGTTCGGGCCGGAGTCCATCGAGTTCGATCTCGAGGGCCACGGGCCGTACGCCGGCCTCGCCGACGGCCGCGTCGTGCGGTGGATGGGCGAGGAGACCGGGTGGGAGACGTTTGCCGTCATGAATCCTGACTGGTAAGTGCTCGCTCCGGCGTGCACTCGTTTGTTGCTATATATACAAAAGTTACAAACTCAAAGAGATTTGATCTGATTTTCTGCATTACTGGGAAAACATCATGCAATGTAAATTTGTTATTTCTTGGCAAAGGTCAGAGGAAGTTTGTGCCAATGGAGTGAACTCAACGACGAGAAAGCAGCACGAGAAGGAGGAATTCTGCGGCCGGCCGCTCGGTCTGAGGTTCCACAGGGAGACCGGCGAGCTCTACGTCGCCGACGCGTACTACGGTCTGATGGTCATTGGCCAGAGCGGCGGCGTGGCGTCCTCCATCGCGAGGGAAGCCGACGGGGACCGCATCCGGTTCGCGAACGACCTCGATGTCCACAGGAATGGATCCGTATTCTTCACTGACACGAGCATGAGATACAGCAGAAAGTGAGCAAAGCAAAACACTCTGGCTTCTCTTTTTCAGTTGAGTAAAAAACTAAAAATTAGTGCCTCTGTATTTCTGCTGAAAGATTAGCTAACCAGACAAGAGCTGAATTTGCAGGGACCATTTGAACATCCTGTTAGAAGGAGAAGGCACCGGGAGGCTGCTCAGGTATGATCCAGAAACAAATGCCGTCCATGTCGTGCTCAAGGGGCTGGTCTTCCCAAACGGCGTGCAGATCTCAGAGGACCAACAGTTTCTTCTCTTCTCCGAGACAACAAATTGCAGGTAACAAAAATATAATCTGACGATGCTCATGATTCTACCATATTCATAGGAGTGATATGAACACAAACCACACATCTGGCCTTGATCAGGATAATGAGGTACTGGCTGGAAGGCCCAAGAAAGGGCGAGGTAGAGGTGTTCGCGAACCTGCCGGGCTTCCCCGACAACGTGCGCTCCAACGGCAAGGCCCAGTTCTGGGTGGCGATCGACTGCTGCCGGACGCCGGCGCAGGCGGTGTTCGCCAAGAGGCCGTGGCTCCGGACCCTCTACTTCAAGTTCCCGCTGACGCTCAAGATGCTCACGAGGAGGGCCGCCAAGAGGATGCACACGGTGCTGGCGCTCCTCGACGACGAGGGGCGCGTCGTCGAGGTGCTCGAGGACCGGGGCCGCGAGGTGATGAAGCTGGTGAGCGAGGTGCGGGAGGTGGGCCGCAAGCTGTGGATCGGGACCGTGGCGCACAACCACATCGCTACCATCCCCTACCCTTTGGACTAGCCATGATCCTGTTTCAATGCCTCCTAGTATGTAGTGACTGGTCGTAATCTTGTTTGTATTTGTCAAATTGGCATAATAATGGACAGATTCAGATCGCATAAAAATGGGCATTGTTGTTGTCAGCAGCATACTAATTGAATCGAATCGTGTTCAGTCCTCACTTCGCTACGATTTGCTCCAGCTTGGAGTAAAAGACCTGTCAAATCCAGATCCAGGTTACAAATTTATATTTGTATCTCTCTACATCTGAAAAGATTGCAATGTCATCGTTTATACCCGGTGATACCAAAGTCAGTAATGCTCCACTTGAGGCTCACGCGTTCGCATCGTACCTGATTTTGAACATATCTGTGTCTGATACGAAGTTCTCGGTGCTCTACTCATGAGTCTACATCCGATTATTGAAAATTTTATGGTCCCAGTGAAATGTACGGACATATACCTGGTATATAGAGAAAGAAAAAAATCTCAAATTAGAGTTGCAATACAGAATATAGGGGGTGTTTGGATCCAGTAACTAAAGTTCAGGAGGTGTCACATGGGGGTGTCGTATGGGCTGTTCGGATATTAATAAAAAAATAAATTACAGAATCCATCAGTAATCCACGAGATGAATTTATTAAGCCTAATTAATCTGTCATTATCACATGTTACTGTAGCACCACATTGTCAAATCATGACATAATTAGGCTTAAAAATTCGTCTCGCAAAACCATCTCAATTTATATATTTAGTTTCATAAATAATCTATATTTAATACTTTATATATATGTCGTACATCCGACGACACAGCGACTGCAACTGGGCCGAATTAGAAAGGACTTGCTGTCAAGGGTCCGCGACCGCGGAGTTGGGCTCGGTTTGATTTAGCCGACAATGTAGTGACCGACCTGAGCCGAACTAAATAAAAATCGAACAGAGGAGGGGAAAGACGGCGGCGAGCCAAACCGAGCGGACGCCATGGATCGCGAGTGGGGCTCCAAGCCCGGCAGCGGCGGCGCCGCCTCCGCCCAGAATGAGGCCATCGACCGGCGCGAGCGCCTCCGCCGCCTGGCGCTCGAGACCATCGACCTCGCCAAGGACCCCTATTTCATGCGCAACCACCTCGGCAGGTAACCCGCCCTAAACCCTAGCTTCTTCTTCGAACTCGCGCCCGTCTCGATTTGCTTCGATCTAATTCTGCTTGTTTGTAGCTATGAGTGCAAGCTGTGCCTGACGCTGCACAACAACGAGGGGAACTACCTGGCCCACACGCAGGGGAAGCGGCACCAGACAAACCTCGCCAAGCGCGCCGCCCGCGAGGCCAAGGACGCGCCCGCGCAGCCCCAGCCCAACAAGCGCAAGCTTGCCCCCCGCAAATCTGGTGCGTGAAAAAAAGAAAACAGAATCTCCACTCTCCTTTTATCCGCAAAATTGTTGTTGTTAATTAGAATCGTCAATTACCAACTAGGTCTACTTATTTACTTTCTGCAGTTACTTGGACTTTGTATGGTCCAATCAGTTAGAAGTATGCTATTATGCTTGTTCAGAGTGTTTAGAATGAAGAAACGAGTAGAATCTCTTTCCTTTTGTGGTTAATATGTAAGTTGAAAGATTGAAGCAAAACTATACTCATATCAAGTTATCAATGGAATTTTGTTCACCCGATATTGATGCATAGCAAGTGGACCTGGAAGATTATTCAACTTCAACTTTGCTGTGTCGACCTTTCCATGTTTTTTCTTATAATTTTACTTTATACAATACATCCCCTTTGGATTGTGTTTTCCACCCCTGAATTCTGCTGGAATTGAACTGATTCCTGCAAATTTTTGGTCAAATCTGTGGGTTCCAAAGGAGGCCTAAGAGTATGAAGAGCAAACCTGAACTTGTTCTTCTGTAGTTGCCCAATCCCCAATAAAAAGCTTCCCTGTTAAGTTGAAGTTCTCTGGGTTTCCCTGATACCAATGGATGTTCCTCGAGACAGAAAATTTATCTGAGTTAGTGTTAGTGATTACTCTACCACGAGCATTTTTTTATAAGCTATTAGTCCCTCCTGTTTTGTTATCACCTTTTGGTAGTACAGTACAACTTAAGTTATCAACACAGTATTTTCTTGTCAGTTGTTCTCATTAGCTTTCTTTCCTAGATTTCCTGTTAAGTTGAAGTTCTCTGGTTTTCCCTGATACCAGTGGATGTTCCTTGAGACAAAATTTATCTGAGTTAGTGAGTAGTGATTACTCTACTGCGAGCAATTTTTTTATAAGCTATTAGTCCCTCCTGTTTTGTTGTCACCTTTTGGTAGTACAGTACAACTGAAGTTATCAACACTGTATTTTCTTGTCGGTTGTTCTCATTAGCTTTCTTTCCTCCCTTTGCAGTTAAGATTGGCAGACCTGGGTATAAAGTAACCAAACAATATGATCCTGAGACGAAGCAACACTCGTTTCTCTTTGAGGTTAGTATTCCTTGTGTTCGCATTATTTACCAAGTCCTCACCTCACACATGGTTATATGTTGAATATTGAAAAATGCAGGAATTTGGTTTAACTTCAATCAGACATATCTACATGTAACTTTTGGTGTATTTCTATTTTTCTCATGTAATTTAGGGCACCTAACAAGTTTCATATGCCAATGATCTTATATTGATTTAAGTTAAAGTTACTTCTTGTTTGCATTTACAGATCATTTCACGTAGTAGTCTCTTTTTATATATAAAAAACGCTTAAGCTTAAATTTTGAAACAAGTGTTTATCTGATCTGGAATTTATCTTCTGATAAGGCAGTCTCTCTAATAAACTAGCATAGTTGATAGGTTATCCAAATTATAATATGCAAGTAATTGCCTATATTTTCTAAACTCTGTTCCTTGACTAGTCTTTCTCATCTGAAACTATTCTTACCTTTAGAAGTAATTAGTTTTATGCATTTGACTGAATAATATAATACAATGCACTCTTGATGAATACAACACTAGCTAACGACATCATACCTCATAATTTGCAAATTTTGCTTTACTGTTTATTTTGTTACGATACATTTAAATATTTTTGTACATTGGAGGCTTGGATCAATAACTTTTGACCTTTTTCCTTTTAGATTGGTTACCCTGAAATCGAAGATAATTGCAAGCCAAGGCATCGTTTCATGTCATCATATGAACAGGTAAACCTGATCTCTGACTCTGAGCATGCCCTTTGAACTATAGCTGTGTTGATTTGGTGTATGTACTGTCTGGTTCACTAAAATCTATTCATCTTATTTGTACAGAAAGTCCAAAGTTGGGATAAGAGGTATCAATACCTACTTTTTGCGGCAGAGCCCTACGAAATCGTTGCATTCAAGGTAATCTCTTCCAGAAGTTTAATGTCAGGGCATCAGGTACACTGGTCAATTAGTGTTATTAACACTGTTTGTTGCTGCAGATACCAAGTACAGAGATTGACAAATCAGCGAGCAAATTCTTCTCTTACTGGGATCCTGACAAGAAGGAATACCTGGTGAGTTTGCTTTTTTAACAAATTTTTATCTTGAATTTAGCTGTTTTTTAGCAATCTTGGTTTAACAACTATACTTTGTGTTTTGCTAACAGCTGCAACTGTACTTCAAGCCAAGACCGCCAGAAGCTCATAAACCACCACCAGCTCCTCCTGGGACTTTGCCTAATGGGAATGGGGTTCCTGGTGCTCCACCAAGGCCACCGGGGCAAGCTCCCCCACCCCCGCCACAAGTTCCACCGCCCCCGCCTCCTGCACCTATGGGAATGCCCCCTAGGATTCCTCCACCACCTATTGGGGGTGTTCAACCTCCGCCGCCTCCACCACCAGTGGCAAATGGTCCGCGGCCAATGATTCCACCACCGCCTAACTTCACTCCCGGAGCACCCCCACTGCGCCCTCCAATGCAAGGCTTTCCTGGGCAACAGCAGTAGTTGACTGCTTAGCTAGCAATGTTCCAGTAATTGACAGGCAGCAAAAGTTTCACGCTTGCTTGTGTTGCCTTATGCTTTTCAACTCAGAACTTTGTATGTTGTCATAGGCCTAAATTGTCTCCGGGACTATCCTCAAATGCCAGCTTGTTGGATTTTTTGTATCCACTTTTAATCCAAATACTTGTTCAAAAATAGCAAGTGCGCGTGTATTCTGTTTCTTGATCTCATATTCTCATGTTACAGTTGTGCCTTTTTTTTTTCCGACCAGTTACAGTTGTGCCTTTGTGACCTTCGTGGATGAGCAGAATGCTGCAAGCTCGTTTTCTTTCGTTCTTTCACACATGCTCTTGGTAACGATTGTATCTACTTGGTCATGCTACATGGTCGTAACCAAACGTCGAACCTATAGCCTCCTGGATAACCATAATCACGCGTGACGAATAGAACGTTCACACAAGCAGAATTTGACACTGATTAATAGAGACGGGGTGCTGGCGTACTGCTACACCAGGAATGGCTAAACCACTTGCATTTCTAAAAGCTGTTTATATCATTACAATGTCTGCTGTTCAAGAGGTTCCAACGAAAGTCCCTTGACAGTGAATGCTCTTTTGCTCTACTAGCTAAAACTTAAACAATCTATTTCGAACTCCTACAAAATTCAGTGAAATTGCAATACATCTCCTATTCTGCTTCGTTGGTTCAGCAAAGCCTCAGTGCGGTACATCTCCTATTCTGCGTTGGTTCAGCGAGTCTTCTCAGTGTGGTCAGTTCTGCTTTCCGTGATCCTCTTGGCGCAAAGAGGAGGCAGCAGCACAGCTACGAACCACTCCGCCAGATGTTGGCCTGTACAATTATATAACAAAACCAAAAAAACATGAAATGACTTGATATCATGGCATAGACGGTCACTTTAGAGACGTAACATGGTGTACTTACAATCCAACAAATACTTTGAACGCGTCATAGGCTGCCCATTGCGCTCCTGTGAGAGTACCAACCATAATTATACGAAGAGGAAGGCCACGCATGAAAAGACCCCACATTCCAAGAGTTCTTACAGCCTGGAAGTATGATGAATTGGTCAGAAGCCAAAATTGAGCAACTCAGCAAAATGGAAAAGAATAATATGGTCTGACAATTAGATGAGATCTTAAATTATAGGAAAAATTATATAGTAATTTTTCAACCTTGAATTTTTATTCTTTATTTTGAGATAGGACTAGAAGCTTACATCGGCCACGGTGGCTCCATGTGCATTGTTCAGGAAAGATACGAGATTGTCTGCAGGATGAGATATAGCCGCACAGAATACTCCAGCAATATATCCCCCTGCAAAGCTCACTGCTAGTTGTAGTGGCTTACTGCATTGGTCTTTCGGTTTTGGTACTGCATGCTTGTAGACCATCTCAACAATGGTTTCAAAGCAAGCAAATTTCATCATAGTGTCTGCAGGATAGTACATAAAGTAATTAGGGACTTAGGGAGCACAGGTCACTATAAGGCTTCTGTGCAGATTATCTCTACATGACAAATGTTTTGTGCACAGTGCCTCAAAGGTGAGTGGACATTAGGTAGTCATCTAAACAATTTATTTATTCAAGTTATCCATAAACACCACACTCGAAGATTATCTTCTGTACTTTTCTCTTAGTAAGAAAAATGTAACAAATAATTGGTGCCATACTTTTTCTTTTTTTCATTTTTTTACATGGTTAGCACAGGAACCAGAAAGTACAACAAATGAAATAAGTATACGAAATCTGATACATAGAGACATACTTTACACTAGTAATCATTGTGTGCTTTGATAACTTAGATTTCTCCTCGCAAAAAAAAAAAAAATCGATTTCTAGTACAGTAGTGCAGAGTACAATGAATTGCATGGATCTTTAAAAGCTGTTACTGTAACAATTCATCCAGTCCAAAACTATATTTCGTACTAGTATTTTGGCACCAGCCACATGGGTAAGCAATGAAACAAAGCAGCGGAGCAAATGCTGCACACAGGACTAAATTACATAAGTTTTGGTACTGACCAAATGACAAATACTGGGTGTACGAAATGAGCAGTGATGACCCTTAACAAGCAACTGTAATGGAAGAACTAACAAGACATTTTGACTTACAGGGAACTTGGCGGCCCCAAAGAGGAAGCAGTCCTTTGTAAAGCCTGAAATTTGCACCCAGTGTTAAAGAGTTGCTCTCCAAAACCTTGAACAATAACACACATCATAATCATACAAGCCATGCAGTATCTATACCCAAAGGCACCTTCAGATTGGACAATCTTCGGAAGCCCGTCGATCAGGCAGCGAGCAAATCCCGGCTGTGTCTGGACTCGAATCTTGACAGCCTCCATGGGGCAGAGAGCTACATCTGCAATCACCTCAGCAGACGCCGAAGCTGCAAGGTAGATCAAAGTCCTCAACCTTTCAGCATTCTCGGGACCAGCAATGTCAGAGTAGCACTTCTTGAAGAACTCGTAGAACCCAAACTTGCAGGCCCCCTGGCAGCTGTACCCAACCAGTGTGGCCATCCAGCCCTTGAAGAAGCCACGGGGGCCTTGCTCATGGAGCATGACACCAAAGGCAGATGGAATGTCCCTGTACTTGCCAGGATCCACCTGAGTGAAGGAACATTGAAGCAAGCAGCAGCGCCATTACATTAGTCATTGAGACGTGGAGAAGGAGAACAAGCAAAGGAACCTCTCGCTGACGGCGACGGACCTGCATGTTGCACTTGACGAGGTCGAGAGGCGTTACAGCGAGGTGGGTGAGGCCGGTGCTGAGGACGCCACCGAGGCCGCAGGTAGCGTAGAACAGCGGCGTGTGCATCTTTATAACCTCCCCTTTCCCCTCCGCCTTCCCGACCCCCGCCGCTCCAGCTGCCTTCCCGAATCGGACGCGGGCGGCGGCCTCCCACCGCCTCCCGAGCTGCTCGGCGCTGGCGACCAGCGCGGCCAGGACGCGGTCGAGGGGCAGCGGGGCCGATGAGCACCCGACCTTGTCGCGGTTTGCCATCTCGGAGGCACGGGAGGAGCTGGGTGTCGGACAGGAGAGCGTGGGCGTGGGCCTCGCGCATGGTACGGCGGAGGGAGAGGTGGATGGGGTCGCGGCGAAGGCCGCGTGCCCGCGTTGGTGCCGCAGCCTGCAGGCGTCGTCCCCCTAGCTTTAGCTCGGGGGAAGCTGGGAGCTCCCTCTGCCGAGTGTCGAGTCCCGAGTCCCGACCTAAACTGTCTCCGACGACCGTGACCCTTCGTTTTTTAATATTTTTTTTTCTTCTCCAACAACAAGACCTAAAAAACCACCCATTCTACAAATAAGTCTCTAAAAGAGAGGATACTTAGATTTAGGTTATACCTTTTATACTACTTAAAATAGGTTTTTTTTATATAGATACTCTGTTGGAGACTCTATATATTGTGTTGGAGATATGAGAAAATTTCTTTATTGCCATTGAAAACTATATGTTCCTTGGTTGCCATCAGTTTTAGATTTTTCGTTCCCTCATTGCCACTGCTATTACAGAGGAGTCACGGCGTGCCTTCGCTCCCATACCCGATGTCCAGACACCATCTGACGGTTCAAAAAAGTACTTCTCTGTTCTCGGCATCTGGCATCTGGCCGTAACCCTTGGACCTCCGCGCCACGCGCCATCACCGCCCTCCCGCTCCGCTGCACACCGCACGTCACGCCGTCTCTCTCTCTCTCCACGGCGTCCTTGCGCGGTCGTGCATTCGGGCGGCGGCGCTGACCAGCCCGCCCCCATCCATGCGGTCTGGTGCGTTCGCGTCGCGTCTGCGCGCGCGCTGGCGCGCTGCGCCTTGCGCGTTCTGGCGAGGAGACCACGGGTGCGCCCAACGGGGAGTTCTAGGTGCTCAGCTAGCGTCGACCAGCGTGGTTGGTTGGCGCAGAGAAGATGCGAAGGCGGCTGTCCACGTGCGCTGCGAGGCTGCCAGCACGCGGCGATGGTGATGATGGCGTTCCCGGCGGATGGTGGCCCGTCCGGCGAAACTGTGTAAAGGGCAGTGCATCGGATCATGGCGACGCCTAAGCATAGCAAGGTAGCAAAAGAGAGGGAGAGAGGATGCCGGATTTGTTGAGCCGAGCTTCGGGCGGTCATCGCGGACATCGGGACCAGGCATGCGAAGGGCCAATTCACCACCTGGGATCGGTGGAGACCGGAGAGCATCTTGGATTTGGAAGGTATGGATTCGGGAATAAATAAGGAGACATGCGTGGTCGTTAGATTGGATAAGCGGCAAGACAATAGAGGAATGGCAATACAGAGCTTAACACCGTTAGTTTTAAATTGATGGAATGACAATAGAGGAAAGAAAAATCCGTATGAATGACAACAAAGAGAAGGTATAATTTTGGATAGCAATGAAGGGATTGCTATAGTTTCTAGTGGCAATGAAGGAATTTTCTCAAATTTCAGTGATCTCCCAACTGGTCTGTAAGACATCAATTCTGCTAGTAGAGTAGTTGCTGTGTTTCTTCTGGGAGAACTTGCTACTGGAGGGGAGTTACTGTAGTATATAGTAATAATAACTGTAGGAAAAGCTCGGTTTACAGTGGAGCAACGGGACAGCTCAAGGAGGAAGCAACATATTTGGTCATCTCATATGTGAGGTCAATGATCAACTTTTGTAGCTAAGCGTTGATGCTGTGTGTGCTTTGCTTTCTGCTCTCATCCCTAGACTAGATGTGTACCAGCAAGAAATGTTGGTGCAGGATAAGCAATTGGAGGCTACAGACTAGGGTTGATGAAGTTGTCTAAAACATAGCACAACTGCAAACATCGCAGCTAAGATGGGTTCAGGGATTGATTGCAGGAACTGCACGTGCCTTACCAATTCAGACTTCAACTCCGTGTACTTGCACCTGATTAACTAAACGGAATGTGAGTAGGTGTGGTACGTGCAAATTATTGCAGATCCTGCCTCCAAGGTGCATGCTGGTGGTTTATATAAATAAATTGGTATTTGGATAACATAACATTCTGACCAGGTGCAGTAAACCAAGTCTTTAATCAGGATAATAAACTATCTGTTCCCAGATACTGCGAGATTTGTCGCACACGCTATGGATTAGACAAGCACATCATCTTCAACGAACAAGCTCTGGAGATAAGATGCTGAGTGAGAGGTTTTTGGAGGGTCCTGAATCTTATATGATTTCGAAGTTGCAACATGGAAGGAAACTTTCAGCCAGGGAGGGAGGTAAGGTTGGTTGGTTGGGCTCTTGGATTTCTTTTCTTCAGACAAATGAAGGAGCGAATAATTTGTCGGGAAGTTTCAACGAAGATGAGGTCAATGATGTGTCCCTTGCATAAGAAAGGTCTCTTGATGTCAACGTCCATGACGACTGCATTAGCATTTCCATATACAGCTTGTTCGGTTGGCTGGTTCGTTTCGTTGCTGATTCGTGAAAAAGTACTGCTGGCTGGTTTGTGTGAGAAAAATACGGTTTCGGCTAAAAATTTACGATCGTTTACGACAAGCCACGGCCAAACGAACAGGCTGTGAATGAAGACGAAGAAATGTTCAGTTTTCTAACCAGTAAACCGTCGGATGGTGTCTGGACGTCGGGTATGGGAGTGAAGTCACGCCCAGTGACAATAATTTTGAATGGCAGCGAAGGAATTGTTATAGTTTTCAACGGGGAATTTTCTCATCGATCTAAGATTTGGGTTGCGAATGGGTCTGAGACAGCGCGCTCGCCGGCCGCCCCTGCTGGCGTGTAAAGTGGCGTGCCCCTTGGTGTGCTCCGCTAACGCGCGGCTGCTGGCTGCTGCTCCTCTGGGCCGCGGCCCCCGACGCGAGATTTGTGTGCGCGGATGGCGTGGGGCACGGCAAAAGAGCCCAGCGCTGGCCGCTTCACGGGACTGGGCACCTGGACGGTAGGCCCGAGCGCGCAGGGGTGATTTTGGCATATCCGGGCTGTTTTTTTTCCTCGGTCCGCGCCGGAGAAAAAGATGCGACGCACGGCGGAAACGAGGAAGAAACACTCTGAATTTTGTGGACAAAAGAAGCGTGCCTCGCACAGTCATACGCCATACATCAGGCACGCTGTTTCGTCGTACAATGTTATCATGCATTAGCGTCCGAGTTCATGGGAACCACATGGTTCGAAATTTTGAAATCTGGACCATGTGATGTCTCACGTGTTTTGAATTTAACGTTGCAGCCTTCATTCGTGTTTTGCTTTTCTTTTTTCCATCTGGACTGACAATTCTGGCCCCGTTCGGCTTACCTTATAATCCGTACTATTCAGCTTATTTTTTCAGTTGAAACAGTGCTTTTCTCTCACAATAATTCAGCCAGAACAGTGTTTTCAGTCAAGTTTCATCAAGCCGAACGAGGCCTCTGTGATCTGCTGCTTTGGTTTTTGACTACGGATACTGATGCTGGAAGCTGAAGTCCTAGTTTTTTTAAAAGGGAAGCTGAAGTCCCAGGGTAGCATACCAATCCAAGCGATGCATATGCAGCAGTACTCTTGTGATTATGAATCGCGCCTTGTGCTTGGGAAACTTTTATGCGTATGACGACTACGGCGACAACTTCTCTGATTTCCTTCACGAGGCAACGGCGGCCGTTTTGTCCATTCACGATGCCCGCTCGTTCGAGTGACCACGTTCCACGTAGGCTTGCCGAAAGGGGTGGTGGAAAAAATTGATTGTTTTAGGTCTCGTTTTTATTGGCAAAATGACTAGCATAAAAGGAAATATAGGTTAGCCAAATGGGAAGTTATGTGTTAGCCTAAGGACCAGGGAGATCTAGGGATACATAATTTAGAGATTCAAAATAAATATTTGTTTAGTAAGTGGTTGTTTAAGTTATTAAATGAGGATGGGCTGTGGTAAGAATTATTAAGAAATAAGTACATTAAAAATAAGACTCTTGGAAGCTGTGAAAAGAAACCAACGGACCGCATTTCTGGAAAAGCCTTATGAATATTAAAGATAACTTCATGGAGTTAGGACATTTTAATGTCAAAGATGGGACACAAACCAGATTTTGGGTTGATACTTGGCTGTGCAATAAACCTCTCAAAGATAGATTTCCTGCGTTGTTTAATATTGTAAGAAGAAAACAAGACATTATAGCTAGAGTCTTGAGTTCCCCGGTACTAAATATCTCATTTCGGAGACATTTGGTGGGTGCGAACTTAACAAATTGGCATCGAATTGTAACTTCTTTACAACAAATTAACTTACTACAGGAAAGAGATGTGTTTGTATGGGATTTAAATGCCTCTGGGGCTTTTACAGTCAAGTCTATGTATGCTGCATTAATTAACAATGGGGTGAGAGTGTCGCAAGATATTTGGCAAACGAAGCTACCAATGAAAATAAAAGTTTTCATGTGGTATCTAAAAAGAGGAGTGATTCTAACCAAAGACAACTCGGCTAGGAGAATTTGGAATGGAGACAAAAGTTGTTGTTTCTGCCATGTTTCAGAGACAATTCACCATCTCTTTTTTGATTGCTTTTATGTCGAATTTTTGTGGCGCTCTATACATATACTTTTTGAGATATCGCCTCCCACAAATATAGATGATTTGTTCTATCATTGGTCTAAATTGGGAAACAAAAAGTACAATACATTGTTATTAACAGCAGCTTCCGCACTTCTTTGGGCAATCTGGATAACAAGGAATGAGGTGGTTTTTGACAAATGCAAATCAAAATATCTTTTGCAGGTACTATTCCGAGGAACGCACTGACTTCGTCATTGGGCAAACTTACAGCGGCATGAAGATCTTAAAGATCAAATGATCTCTGTGGCACAACACCTAGAAGCGTCGGCTTTAGATTTCTTTGGATCCAATGGTTGGCTTTCACAAAGGCATGTTGGTTTGGTTTAATCAAAAACTTTTTACCTGTTCCGTTAGTCGTGTGTGTGGTTGTAAGTTTTACTTAAGCCGAACTTTGTGCCCAGATTTGGAGTCTGTAATAATTGATCTGATTCTATCCTTGATAGATGAAGCCGAATATTTTATCCTTTATCTAAAAA